GGAGGTGGGAAGGCCAGCAGTGCCCTCAGTGCACAGATGAAGACAGGCATTTCTCCAGGAAGTCACAGGCCCAGGGCCTCAGAGATGGGCCTGAGAAGCTGTGGCTCCAGCAGCCAGCATGTTGCTCCCCGAACCTGTGTCCTCAGCCCCACAGTGTCCCACACAGAGGACTCAGCCAGTATCTGCAGACTAGAGAAGAGACAGGAAGAATGGGATGGGGGCTGCGTGGCCCCTAGAAGCTCTGGCATCTGGGACTGGTCAGGAACCCAGCAGGAGCAGGACCTCAGCAGGGGACAGAGGACTCTGGGGAGATAGTAGCATCTTGGCCCAAGAGGTGAGGCAGCCCAGAGAGGAAGGGGAAGGCTGTGGCTGCCTGGAGCTGTGGCCTGGGCGGGTCACACACATCAGGGCCATGGGCTCCAGCCAGACCTGCCAGGTGTTGATCTACAGAGATGACAAGCAACCCAGCCTGTCCTGGCCCAAAGGTTCCACTACTCATAGGGTCCTGCAGGCCAAAGGCAGAGCTGTGCTGCTGGGGGACAGAGGATATAGCACCCCTTAGGGTTCCATAGAATAACGCCCCCCCCCAGACAGACAGACAGACACACCAGCCTATCCACGCAGAAATGAGAGCCAGGCCTAGGGAGCTCCTTTTATTTGTACAGTGCCATAAGCTGTTGTAAAAGCTACTGGGCATGAACTGCGATAAGGGACTACCCCATTCATGGTGCCGCAGGGTGAAAACGGGCTGTGAATTCAAAATGTGCTTTGCCTCTGGGCCAGAGGGACGCTCTGTGCCCCAGAGGCCCAGCCCTGCGTGGCTCCTCCCGCAACCAGCAACCAGCAACCAGCGCTTTCAATGTTTGCCATTCATTGTGTGTGTGCTGGGGGGGAGGGGTGTCAAGGAGCATCCTATTAGTCCCCGGGCAAAGCCACGCAGGCAGAGAGCACAGGACTGTTCACATTCAGCTAACCTTTATCATGCACCTGCCCACCCTGCAGGACCCTGGGGACCCCACGGTAAGGTCTTTCCCTCCTGGCAGGGGGCCCACGGCAGGTGTGGCACAGCAAACGAGTGTGAGAGGAGGGAGGGGGCCTCAGGGCGTCCACAGCCGGCCCAGGCCCACATGGCACTAGCGACTTGCTGTCTCTCATGTCTCTCTGCTGTCTCTCCCTCTCCCTCTCCCTCTCCCCCCACCCCTTCTCATGGATCCTGTCTTTCTGGAATCCCTGTATTTCAGAGTAGGAAGGGCTCTGGAATTCCCTGGTCAAACTCCCTCCCTTGACTCCTGAAGAAGCCGAAGCAGAGATAACAGAGACTCACCCAAGGTCACCAAGCTATTCCTGTGCCCTAATTTCTCTGTGGGTTTTTTTTCCTCTCTTTATCTATCACCTTTGCTGTGTGCACATGTGTGTGTGGGCACCTGCACATGGTGTGTATCTCTATGTGTGTACCCAAAACTAACACAGAAAGGCAAAATCACCAATCACCGAGAGAGAGAGAGCTTCCTTCCCAGTAGCCAATGGTGGCCCGGGCACAGAAACCTGGCGCACACAGGGCAGGTGGAGAGAGACCATGCCGAGCACCCCGCCTGATCTTCCAAATGTCCTGTCTTGGGAGGGGGGTGCGGGGACCCTCCTCCCATTGCTGAGGATCCCTCCTGGCTCCTTGGTCTAGCCAGAGCCCCCCCCTGGCTTGGCTTAGGCCAGACAGGGTCCCCGGGCATGCGCAGGGGGTCAGTAACCAGAAAAAAGGGGGATCGGTGAGGGCGGAGATGGGCAGATCGCAGAAGTGGGGGTTCGTCACCCCGAGAGTTCCGAGGGGTTTCTCTCCACACACGTGGGGTGTTTCATTCCACAAGCAACGCCGCATTGCTGGGGGTGGGAGCAGGAAGGGGGGTGGGGGTCTCTCCGTCCTTTCTCCCTCCAGGTTCCTTTGTTCCTTCTCTCCCTCCCTCCTCTCCCCTGCCGGCCTCCCCTGTCTCCTTCTAGCCCTCCACCCCCTCCCCTCCTCGCCCTCCCCTCCTCTGCCCCCCCATCGGTGTCCCCAAGTGGGACCCGCACGGAGGGCGGGAGGGCGGGGCTCGGGCCGGGCCTGGCGGCCGTCTTCCCGCAGGGAAGGGGTTAAGTCTCTTCCCCGCACCCCTCCTCCCTTCCCGCCTCCCGGGCCGCCGCCGCCGCC